TCAACAGTTAAGATGACTTACGATCCTGAGAGTCTCACCTGCCTCTCTCGCTACAACTGGCCGGGAGTAGCAGAAGTTAACATCCGCAACTCAGCCGACCCGCGCTTAGTGCGTGGCCCCGCTCCTAACAGCATCGCTGAATATTTTAATATGGCGCCCGTACGTCGAATCTCGGATTCCATTTATGTGGTCATCCGCGGACAGGCCGCCAACCAAGTCTGGCCTCGCCCTACCGCAGATGAAGTTATTCGCCGCATCTTGCATCTGTAAATTCGCACTCACACAAGTGACAAGCCCCCTCCCTCTGTCCTATTAGCGTCTCTTCATCTAAACCGTGGCTTAAATTATATATGTCATCTACTCTTCGCAAATTTCCACAAGCTATTTCGCGCGTCTATCCTAACTGGTTAGTTATTTTTGAGATTTGTATGATTCATTCAATGTGTGTTAAAAGTTGTGGTTTCGCTGGCGAAGCTACGCAGGTATGAGTAAGTTGTCTTTGTCATTTTTATGTTTGTGTAATTTTGATAAGTTTTGGTCATACCTTCATTAGTTTTGATTTATATAAGTGATCTTAGTGATAATTAAGCTATGTTTAAGTCAGTATAAGTAAAAGATATCTTCTATTAAAATTAAGATTAAATTTGTATTTTCACAAATTCTTCCGCTTTCTATCCCCCAATAAAAAAGAAAAAAAAATTGGCGTTTCATTTAGCATAACTTTAAACAGACAACAAGACAAAATGCACACAATCATTTAATTATTATTGGTGTAGGTACCTATTATCTTAGTACCAAAATGATGTTAAGTGTCACCTTTCTCAATTTAGCGGTTCCTTAAAATTTAGAAGAGTTTTGTAAACACGGTCAATCCATTCACAAATGATCTTCTATACTTGAAATTTAAACAATTCTAAGAGAATTGAGAACCATTCGGGTAGAACTTGTGAGATTTCATTAAAAGTTAACTTGTAAGTTGAACTTCATTATTTTACTACCTGTGCCCATTATTTGTCTAATATCTTTGGCATAATCCAGGTATGCTGAAGTTGTATACATCATATGAGCGTTTAAAAAATGTAGATGTTTTTTTTTGTAAAAAGTGCACAACAAGCGTCATAGTAATTTTTATATTAGATAAACACCATTCTGATTAAAACTTAAAAAAAATATATTCTATGAATTTGCGGTCACTGTATCTAAAATAATATTATTCTTGTGTATTTGATGATTAGAACTGGTAAATAAACTACTAAGGTAAGATCGAGGCGAGAGTAACTAGTTAAATTATTTTTTTTTTTTCGGTAGTTTGGCTAGACATCCTAGGTACTCTTAACGTACACAAGTATAAATTATGTTCCTACTGTTTTCATTGTTTTGGAATTGAAGTACATATTTTTTTACATCAAAATCGCCAAGGTAAGATCGAGGCGAGAGTAACTAGTTAAATCATTTATTTTTTTTCGGTAGTTTGGCTAGACATCCTAAGTACTCTTAACGTACACAAGTATAAATTATGTTCCTACTGTTTTCATTGTTTTGGAATTGAAGTACATATTTTTTTACATCAAAATCGCCAAACTGTATATCAGTTTGTTGGCGATGGTGGCTCTTATATTAAACAATATTGTTACTTATTATTACTTATTATTTTTATATCTAAAAAAATGAACTTTAAATTTAAATTTGTATGCGCCAAACATATTTAAAAATTCCTTCTTCAGTCTTCTTTTTAAGGATAATGTGCTTAGGACTGTTATTTCTTATGCAAGCTACTTTATTGTATTAAATCGTAGTAAGATAAAATATTAGTAGATAGCTTTTAATCTAGTAGGCACTGAGACTTTTGTATCAAAATAGGCTATTGAAAATAGATCAATATTTTATCACTAATTAACACATTTACAATATTGTTTTACTCATTTGTTCTAGTATAGGTAGACAGGTGCCCCATGACAATGCCAACCATACCTACAGTAAATAGAACTGGGATGCAGTTTGATTTGTTATATATTAGGTTGAAATTTGGCTTGGAGATAAAAGTTATGACGTAGGCATCTGCTGTAAAAGGATTTTGATATTATCCACCCCCAATACTCAATAGGGTAAAATAGGGGATGAAAGTTGTATGAAACTGTGTCAGTTTTACACTGATCGGGTTGAATTTTGACATGCAGGTAGATGTTATGATGTAGACATCCGCTATAAAAAGATTTTGATCATTTCCACCCCCAATGGGATAAAATAGGGGATGAAAGTTTATATGACACTTTGTAAGTTTTGCAACGACCAGGTTGAAATTCTGCATGCAGGTAAATGTTTTGAACAATTCTACCCCCAACAAGACAAAATTGGGGATGAAAATTTGTATGAAATTTTAAACTGACTGGGCTGAGACTTAGCTACTATGACGTTGGCAGATGCCTACGTCATAGTAGCTAAGACTGGCTTGGCCAAGGTCATGGAGGAGGACAGGGTTATTCCTAGAATTACTTGATGTACTTGTTCTTCAGGCTTGTTTCTTAAATCTAGCGTGGCTCTACGGGAAGAGTCTATGGGACATGTTTCTGTCCACACGTTCATCGCATCGGTCAGACACGACACGTCAGGTTTAGTGTTAACACCAACTAATTTTTTTTTGTTAAAGTTCTAGTCCTGTACTCGAAATACTTAGTTGTATAAAATAATAACAAAGTTATGTTTGGGCTAGTGCAAGTGTCGCCGAGGAGTAAGAAACGTTTTGAAATAAGTCTATCACAAACTCGCACGAAGACAAACTATATGTGTCAATTTCTGGAGACCATCCATCTCATAAAAAACCCTACAAATATTTATAAATGTAGAAATTGGTACTTTCATGGCTTTTTCGTATACAATATCTGCCGGATAAATAATACTGATTTGCTTGAATAACACAAGTAGGTACCTTAATAATCGGCAAACACGGGTGACTCGCCGCCCGACCAGAACCAGGCCCGAGCGTACGGCGCGTCGCGTTCCGCGCGCGCCTTAATGAGCCATCAGACCACCACAGATGGGGCCTAACAGGGCTGATGCCGATACGGAGCCGCGGAAGACACTCCCTCCCGCCTCACCCGGGCGGGAGAAGTCACTGGATGATTTTCCCCGCTCAAAAAAAAAAAATAATGACTTACCTATTATTTTTTAAGACAGTCCTTGTTACAGCATAGAAAATAGTATTGGTAATGTCATTATTGAGTGAAAGTTTTCTAGTTTAGTGTATTTAGATGTAGTACAATAAAACTTGATAAGAATATTATGCACAAATGCATAACTATGACCTATATTTTTATTTGCAGAGTGTAAATGAAATGCTCCCAAATAGCCTGACAAAGAAAAATTGTTTTTATAAATAGTTTTTTTGTTCAGAAAACGTATTATTCATGCAATATCAGCCTTAAGCGATTGATTACAACTATTGTTATATTAAAGAATTTATTTTAATAATAGTTTCATTTTTATTTATTTCCTACTTTTATGAAAATGAAACTTGATTTTTACCAACACCTGAAGACGTTTTCCAGGAACGTCTCGTTTACACCCAACAAAATACTTAATCTTCTTTTTATTAACCTTGGTAAGAAAACCTACTCTTTTGTATCCTTCTTCTTACTAATATTTGAAATATGAAAAGTAAGAATGTATGTAATATGTGTAATATGTAATATGTGTAAATGTATGAAATTATGTTTGTTACCATTTTCACGAAAAAATATTGAGATAAAGATACATGAATAACAAATAGTCTACTTCTAAATTATCAATACAATTTAGTATTTATCTAAACCTGAATAAATCATGTTTGTCCATGCTGTTTCAATAAGTATCTTTTAATTTAATCAGATGGTATTAGCGATGAAAGTACATGCTTGACAGAAAATGAAGATGGAAACATGGAAACGTTGTAATGACGTCAGACTCAGTCGACCGAGTTGTACGAATAACCCATTGACGTCAAACCCTAAAACGTGGATGGACTATTTATTATAAACACTCTGGCCTTTATAAACACAGATTGTGAAGTTATTCAACTTTGGACTTTGTATTTACGACAGTAAGGTACTTACGCATTTGCACCAAAATTGAGCAAGGGAAGACAGAGATAGAGACACAAATAAGAACCCCTTGAACAGCTGTCCTGCTCATTTCACTCTCATTCATCTTTACAAGTATAGGTAAATTGTGAAGTGATTTGGCCACAAGCTAGTGTAAGGTAAGGATTACTTACTTAACGAGATGGCAAACTAAAAGACCGTTTAGTGAAGAGAGTAAATACTTTATTGAAATATAGAGATACAGATAGAACTGTATAGACAGTAAATTTTCACTACGTATACATGGTGTAAGGTCTACAGTAAATATTCCTACAGACAATATTTAATTAATTTACATGAAATTAGAATGGGTTCGTTATTCTGCAAGTAACATAATATTAGGTATAAATAATTTCTGCAATTTTTTAAATCCATCTAAAAATAAACTTTTATAAAATAAATTTATTAGCAGTGATGTTTCAGGTAAATAGAGTAAGTATAAGGTAAGTTGACCAATCTAGTTTTTTTGCTAAGATAACTGTAGCCTTTGAAAAACTCATACATATTGTATATATGTTTATTTTAATAAAAATCACATGACTAAAAATGTCACTAAAAATAAATCGATATACATAAGTTTATAATTGAATCAACAACCTCATTTATAATATAAATGAATAACAAAATCTTTGGCAATATGAGTTTACAGATTGGTCATAATATAATTAATAATTATAATTTACACAATAAAAAATAATTATAATAAACATAGAAGTCTTAATACAAAACCAAACATTCAAGCGGTATTCTCACAACACCATGCTTACAAACAATTTTTATTGAGGCCATGTAAACGTTCGAAATTTTTTACTTTGACATCAAATACTACGAACAAGTGAAGATAGAACAGACAGAATATGTTGGCAATGTTGTTGTCTAGAACATCTAGTTCAGAACTCCTCCGCTGATACTGGCCACGAGCCTGGATGGTACGGAGACATGCATCGTCACCAGTTCTGTAGAAATAGAATAATAAATATATTCTATGAACTAAACACTATATTAGAATTACAATAAGTTGCAGATGCTTAGGGGTAGATTGTAAGTAATCAATACTGGCCCAAATAAATTCCTACGACTGCGCACAAGGGTGCTGAACTTGCTTGCTTTATCGGAAGAACCCCAACGGTTTCCGTCCACGGTGGTGCATTATCACAAACGTGGTCGGAAAGTGATGGTGTTTTTGTACTATATCCTCTATTAAATATATCTACGTAACATATAATTATAGTAGTTCCGTAGCTACCGCAAAATATGAAGTAATGTAAGTAATTTATTTATTTATATCTCTTATACCGCTTTGCTCTTGTGTATGTTCTTTTACTGTTTTATGTCGATGGCATTATACAGGAAAAGGTTGTATAAATGTATTTTGTATTGTACTATATGAACTTAACTGTATTGTTTGTGTACCTATCTGTATACTTTATGTAGCTATACTTTATATTTATGTATATAAAAATGGACCGAATAAAATACGTGGGAGGGAATCGAATTAGGGATTATTTCTCAATATTGCTACGTGTCAAGGTTATACTAAAAATAAAACATTTACTGAGAAAATATTTCTACAGGCTGAAGGAGTATTTTTGTACGTTAGGTTACTATTTTTAGACAATCTCTTTAGAAGGTAATTCCTAAATAGGTACAGTACAGAAGAAAATAATAAAATTGTTCCTGTAAACTTGTATTGTTTTAGGTTCCACTAAAATTTATTCGATTTTTAAGTTTTGTTTCGTGAAAAATAGTTACACCAGGGAAAGTTGGCCATGTATCGTAATAACTTTCAACACAAACATGTAAAATTTAACTTAATATTCGAGCACCTACTTACAATACTCAATTTTGGATAGCGAAACTCTTAAAGATGAGACATATGATCTACTATGACATCTTCTTAAGAGAAGTATGTACCTCCTACATGATTGAAAAGGGGGGCACGGTGTAGTGTACACATATACAGAGTGAAATTGAATATTAGAGTGAATAGTAGAATGTAAAGTTTACCATTCCCGGTACGGCGGTGTATGAACTCGCCGTCGTTTTCGTTGCGGCGCGGTTGAGTTTCACGGGGCGACTCGGCTGGCGGGGCGTCCTCCACCCACGCTGGTTGGGCCGCGGCAGCCGCTTCGCCGCCGCCGCCGCCGCCGCCACCGCTGCCGCCGCCGCTGCTGCCGCCGCCGCCTCCGGTGCGCAGCGGCAGCCGCACAATAATGCGGTGATTTGTACGCCTATTGCCCTGGTTCCTCCGCGGGCGTGTGTTCACCACGGGGATCTCATTTTGAACGGGTAAAGGCAGGGGCACTTCCCCGGGCAGCATTTTCTATCTGTAATTTTAATGGTGTAAATGTTAGTAGGGTGTAATAGACATTACACCAATACCAAAAAAAGATTTAATAATAGAGTACAAATTAACTAAATGAAATAATATGACTAAGTTTTACCTAAAGGTACCACGTTAGATTCCCACCACCATTACTAGTACCACCACTACCGATACCAGTTATATCACGAAGTCTGATTCAGTCTTAATTTCAGCACGATGTGCTCTCGACGCCTATTACAGTGATACTAATAACATAACTGATAATACGTGGGTGCGTATATTGAGAGAGAGGCGAGAGAGACGTCTCTGCCTATCCGTCGTCTCTAGACAACAAAAACACCAACGACATTATATTTCTTTCTCATCTCACTTGATATTACGTAAATGCTGTTGTCCTCATCAAGGACATAAGACAAAGAATTATAGAAAAATATATTATTTCTCAAAGAAAATATTTACGTATCAATAGTAGGTATGTTACTATCGAGATAGTACTTACGAAAATAATGTTATTTGTTTCTGTTTATTGCGTCTCAATTTTTATCGAACGTAGCTAGTTTAAGAACAAGGCAGAGGCTATTTTTAGAAATAGAGATAAATATTGAGTAAATTTAACAAATAACTATCATACTATGGTAACACTTACCTTAAATGGGTTTTAATCACTGTTTAACACTTCACGGTAGGGTCAGCCGTTCCAATACAGGATTTTATTGGGAGACGTCGACCATTAACAGCGGCGGAAATCTGCAATTATTGATCGGTCAGGTCTCACTTAGTGCGCAAGTGCAATTTTACCCCTTGTACTCACGAAATAACTATTGGTCTGTGTGTGAACAAGTCGAAAATTGTTAAAAATATCACTTGTTCTTTTAAAGTCAAATTTTATTGCACTTTATTTCATTTCAATGCTGAATTGATTTGAATAAATTATTTTAAATTTGAAATAGCACATAGTTTAAACTTACATTTTAGCGATCCACTCCAATAGCGCCCATGAGAAAGTAATTTGAACCTCACTGTGCTGTTGATAAGGCTCATGGTTTTTAGCACCATTCAATGACCTAAATTGGATTGGTGTCCTCGATAAGTTTAAAGTTAGATGTCTATTATTAATTCTATTTTAGACGTCATTTGAATTCCTTATTTTAAGTTATCATGAATTATAGACATGTATTTATACATTTATAATACAGCTATTTCCCGTCAAGTCTTAGGAATGATATAAATATTAATGCCGTCACAGACCTAGCTATAATATATATTAATGTATATTATAGCTATAATATACATACATATAACACAATTCATTTTCTTAAATGCTCATTGAAATGTACTTTGCCGTGCACTGGCGCCAAAAGTACTTGTTTTACAAAAAATCTGTATAGACACACCAAAATTATGGGAAATTGTGTCTAGTTTCATTTCGTAAACTTCCCAGAAAATATTTCAGGCAAGACTATCTTTAACTGATTGAGCTATCTATAAAACCTACTTTTATTTATAGGTGTGTGCCGGCATTTAATTATTCGATAATCAGTCAAACTAGTCAGCTTCCCATCAGTCAAAATAGGTAAGCTATTGATAAATTTGTTTACAAGGGATTGGGAAAACTATTGAATCAGAGACACATTTCTATGTCGTAGCGTATCATGGCGCCATGTTCACGACACGACACGCAAGTGTTGTCCTTAACCATAGTAAATATATAAAACTGATATGCTTCTAGCTCGCCACTACATACGATGCTATGCAAATATATATTTCTGCATTAAAATTTACCGATAATAAGTTACTTAAATTGGCCGTGAATAAACAAATATCATAAGATTGGTCATAGTTTCATTATCCAACCATTATTGCGCGTTGTCTTTTTGCCCATTTTATGATTTGAATTTATTAATAGCGATGGTAATGGGTTTCTAGGAACACTACATTTTGAAACTTAAAGAGTATATGTCAAGCGACGCTCATGCGCGCTCATTGGAAATTATACTTTTAAACAAAAGTCATCAGGAAAACATGATCTCAAATTCTCAAGCTACACAGGCATCATCTAGTGAGCAGAAACGGTAGACCTCGTTGCTTCCTTCCTACCATACCTCTTTCAAATTTGTAGCTAAACTAAATTTCAAGTTGGTCCGAGGCGCCATCTGCTGGTTCCAGGGAATAACTACTAGACACCTCTTTAAGAATCTACCTTCGTTCATTTATTCAATCATGTTAATTTTAATTACAAACATCTCTTTCATACTGTTTATGACTTATCATATATCCCTTGACAGCTCATTACTGGAATTAAGCCTACTGTACATTTTTCATAATCACCAGGTTGGCAACAAGGTTCAGGTTTATCATTGAGGGCAGTTTAAAAAGTTCAGGTTTATATATATTACTAGCGGACCCGACAGACGTTGTCCTGAATAATATAATATAATAATAATAGGTATAGATAAATAACCTAGATACCGACTGCAGCGCCATCTGCCGAGCTGATTTGTGAATCTAAACCATCCAGGGAGCCATTCAAACGCGTACAGAAAATTTCATTTAAACCCGTCACGCCGTTTAGGAGAATTTCAATGACATACACACGTACAGCAGAATTATATATATAACTAGCTTTTACCCGCGGCTTCGCTCGCGTCACAAAAGGATAAAAAGTAGCCTATGTGACATATACCAATACACACAGCGCCATCTATACCAATAATTTCGTTTTCCCTCGAGAATATCACATTTTTCCGGGATATAAAATACCCTATTATTTAATCCAGACTTCTAACTTCACGTCTGCAAAAATTCAAAGCAATCGGTTTAGTAGTTACGGCGTGAAAGTGGAACAAACAAACAAACAAACAAACTCACTTTCCGATTTATAATATTAGTAAGGATGATATTATATATAGGTATCGATCACCAGATGAGATGGTGTCCAAGAATGTATTAATAAAAATAATATATACAACATAACATAACTCACATAACTTCACGCCTTTTATGCCCAAAGGAGTAGGCAGAGGTGCACCTCTGCTCAATACTTAGGTAATGTGCACATTACGGCACTTAATGCCACTGTACACTGTAAAACCCACTTTTCACTATTTTATGTTAAGAGTCCCATGTAATAGGGGATGAGCCTATTGTCATATACTGGGTACATTTCCAGACTCGGTGCTTCTACGGAGATTTTTGAAAAAACCCAGTAATACTTTGCCCGACCCGGGAACCGAATCTAAGACTCATTGCCCGGCAGTCGCACTTGCGACCACTCGGCCAACGAAGGCAGCCATACAATATAATAAATAAAACAAACAATATGTCACTACATTACGCAATCATTTATTTTAATAAGCAAAAGAAATACATTGATCGTTTAAGCAGAAATTAATGTGAAGGCTGATAGACTACATAGTCATATCAGTTTTTAGATTGGCATGACTATGTAGTCAATCTCGTCATCATTTTCAGAGTGAAAAACAGTGGGCCGGGTGACATTGAACATTCTGTCATCTTGCCCCAACAGCATAGGTATCATAGCTGGGTCTCGGGTAATGGAAGTCATGCGATTTAGCAGATTCGCGATCATTTCCTCGCTCTCTCTGGGCGGGGGCACATTCCTCTCCTTCTTTTTCTTCTCCTTTTCCTTTTCTTTTTCCTTTTCCTTTTCTTTTTCCTTTTCTTCTGGCTTTTTAGCTTCCGCTTCAGCCCCCTGTTCGACCTCTTCCTTCGGAGGATTTACTGCGCCAGCCTCAGCACCTGGAATGAGATTTATTTTTGTTAATAATAATTGTTAATCGAGAAATAGTTTCAAGGTTGTGTTTCTGTTTAATTGTTTAAAATTTTAAATGTACTTGGGACATAATTTTAAAATCACGCGTGAGTATGAGTGATTCTAGTGGTTTGGTGAAGTAAAATTTGCTTAAACTTATACTGAACATAATATAATTAAAACTGAACTGAATATTTTTTTTATAATCACAATAGGTAATTTATTGTGATTATAAAAAAAATATGGAGCACTACAATGGGGATGATGACAGGGTATGAAAATTAAAAATATAATTAGTCCGTAAGTTAGGTAATGAAAAAATATTAGACACGTATTTTTTTATTTTGTCGTATAATAAAACAATACTTAGATAAAACGAATCAAAGTTTAGGAGTGGGGGCTAAAACGTCATTTCTTAGTATAAAATGTACTGAGAAGTGACGTCACGCGACATTTCAAATCAATATATCTTCGAAACTATTCGTTTCTGTGAGAAAATAAAAAATACGTGTCTAATGTTTTTAAATAATCTATCAGACGGACATTAAAATAAAAATTAGTCGTCTACCCTATTTGTATTAGTTGGCAAGTTAAAGAAAAATAATGTACTGTAAATGTACATTAGGATTTTCTCCTGTGTCGTGGGTGCGTTTATAAACATACAAGTTCACATACACATGACACCCAGACCCAGAAACTGCATCTGCAATCTTTAGATTTTAAGTAAAACAACGCCTAGAGATTATGGAACAAGCTAAGACATGTTACCGCAATTCGCTATTTTGTCCACTACTAGGTATATATTTGTTTGTTATAGTGGTTTGTTTGTTAGGCAAAGCATATTGTCACAACATCAGAAGCTTACCTTTAAAGGAACAATAACGTCAAGGTGAAACCATAAAGTATGTATAACCGAATCGTACAACACTTTCTTTATTAGGAAATTCCAGTGCTATATTGGCCCCATTATTACAATAAATTAAATAAAAAACTTAACCTTTATCCCTTAACATGTTATTGCTGCAAAAAAGTTGTAACAGTCTGGTTAAAAAAACAAAACTATGAAGATATTGAAAATTGTTTGTTGTTTTACAGTAACCAAGTTAAAAATACATATACAGTAATAATAACTGGATACACTAGTTATAAAGGATAAAAGGAATCTGGTGTGTTGTTGTAGTAAGTATGTAGATAAATACTAAATAAATAATTAACAAACACT